GGTATTAAGATAACCTGCCTGAAATGGATTCAATAGCTCTGATGACATTTTAATTCATAGAAGTTAGAAAACTTTCAATTTTTTACATCTCATATGGACAGCTTCTGTGTCTAGTTTCACCATTCTCCATTGTCATCTATTTCCTTTCTTTTCTGAGGTTTGTCAAAGATTGTAAGGAAGGTAAAAAAAAATTAAAGATATGAGGGGTTTATAATGCCACAAAATTTGACAAAGGAGAAGGTTGGTATATAAAACACAAGTACAACAATATCATTTTTTAAACGTGCAAGAGACCATATAAAAGTCCTCTTATAAAGAGGCTTTTTAGTTTAGTGAAAGAAATACATAGTTTACACCAAAGCCAATGAATGAAAATACTTGACATACCCTAGTTTAAAAAGTAAATAATGCATTTGCTTTTGTAAGTAGACTCCTTACAATATAATACAAAAATAAAGTAAATTGCTGTAAATAAGCCATTTCTCAGACCTTACTCAGATTTGCAACATTCTCCTAGGTTCCAGTCACTGTTCTAATTAAACCTTTATTAACGTACTTAGTCTAGATTCTTCTGTTAAAAAAAAAAAGAAGAAATAAAAAAAAAGAAGGAGAAAAAAAGACCTTTCTTAATGAAAATACTGAGTGATATCAGAATTATCATAAAAGTAACCATGGATGGTAAAGTAGAAAATTATACTACTCTTTACACTAAATATATCTCGACTTCTATCAATATATTTACTAAAGAGCAAATTCAAGTTTTATACAGTTTTGATGACTAATACTTAATGACAGAAAGAAAAAACAAGATAGTATTTTTCACCCCACTAGCTGCCAAGGTAAGCAGTTATGACATAGTAAATTTTGTTAGCTTTCTCCCAGGTCTGTGTGTAACACACGGTTACCAGTAAAGCCATTCCAGTGTTTCTTACACAATTTTGTCAATGTTAATCTTATTCCACCAGGTGAGCCAAACTCTCTAACTTAACCCCTACTGTAATTTTACCATATGAACACAAATACACTTTCCTTTCAGGTGGATTTAATCTGAAAAAGTCTCTTACTTTCATTATGCATTTCTATTATTAGTAATGACATCTAAAAGTATTAATTCCTTGGATTACAACTGCAGTCAATGGCACGTTACACAGCTACTGCTTATTGTTGCACCAGACAATGTTTAAAATTCTGTAAAACAGAGACCACACAAACCTTCCCTATACTAAAACAGCTTTGCCAGTGAAAGCAACTTTAGCAAAATAAAGAGAACTGGTACAATCAGCCCTCCTGGTTATTGTGCAATTGCAAATGAACCTCCCCTCCCTTCCTTTAGGGTATTTCTGAAAATTCCAATTTTTTGAGACAAACTTAATGCAAGACTGGCTTTGTGCTGGGCTCCACTGGTGAGAGGTGAGAAAATTATGTGACCTCCATTGCAAACAGAGGACATGGACACAGCCCAAATGCAAACTCCTCACCAGGTGCCCATGAGGGCAGGACCAGCACTGGCTCCTAGTGTGCCCTAAAGTTTGTGTAATTTGCTTCCATAAAACGCTGACAGCGTTCAGTAGGGAATTAAGGATAATATCTTTCAAAACTGTACCATGTATATGCACTGTAATACTTGACATATTCCTGGCATGTGCTATTCAAATAAAACCCACAGATGCCATACAACGTCATTCGGCGTCAGAAGTTCAAAATGAGAAAAAAAAAAAGGGTATCGTTATTTGTAAGATGAAAAGACTACTATAGTGGGAATTGCACTTTTAACGCTAAATATAAAAAAGTTTATTTCATGCAACTTACATCTGTCTAAAATTAGAATGGATGTCTAGATGACTTTTTAATCACAGTGATACTGTATGAAAATCAACTCATACTCAAATAGTCTCTCCCAGTGAGATAACAATTTCAATATGCCAAAAAATCTACCACCTTATTAATACTGATCTAAAATAAGAATGAAGCTATTTAAGTCTTTGTAAGACATTACATTCGATGAAAATATCTATTATTATCAATCATATTATTACCAATCACAGTTCCAGAACAGGGAGGAAATTAGGGTACACTCTTAAAATATTAATTGAAAGTACAGCTCACTTGATATGTTTTACGCCCCACTGGCAGCCAACAATGAGGATGGCCCTGCAGGGATCAATTTTGTGGCCCATGTCAATCAACATCTCACCAGTGACCCAGACAAGGACACAAGGCTACATGCTAACTAGTTCACAGATGACATTAAATCAGGAGGATGAGATGGCATGCCAAATGGCAAAGCTTGAACCAGAGGGACGCTGCTCAACTTGAGGACTGGGCCAGAAAACACTTCATGAGGTTCAATAGATGTGGAAAGATCTGCTCCTGGAGCAGAAAAATCACACGTGCTGGGAAGGGATGCCTGAGCAGAAGCCCTGCCAAAAAGAGCTGGTACTTACAATAGATGCCAGGCTGCAAAACAACCAGTGGTGCACTCTCTTTGCAACATTAGATACTCCATTCTGCACTACATGGGCAGGGGATGTGAAAAGAACTCTATCCCCTGTGACTCAGTGCTGTGAAAATTCACAGGTTGACTAAAAATTGTAATTTGGATAGAAGCCCCCAAACCCACTGTTTTTAGAAACAGCCCCAAATATGCCATTATGTCCATCAACATTAGAGAAAAAAATTTAATAACGGACTTCACACAGAATCCAGAGAATTCTGCACTATAGAAACTGCTTTACAGTACATCCGGTAGCACTTTTCAACTTCTGATAAAGACTGAAAATATTTTGTGTTGCATCATTTTGTGTTTTCTCTACTTACTAATTAAACTAATTTAACATTCACTAGACTTAGAAAGTGCCTTCAATAGAAAGATTTAGCATACCACAGATTTTTTAAATTCTAAAGATGTTAACACTATTTTTCTTTCAATGAGAGTCAAATAAACAATTGTAAAAAATAATTCAGTGATAGTATCTTCACTGTTCACCAAGTTTCAGTTTGCATTGCAAATAATGCCATTCACAAAGCACTACCAGAACACTGTAAAACTAATGACCTTCTTTCTGTATTTAAATTAAAAATTTGAGGAAATGCAGTTCTGTCCCTCAAATGTACTTGCAGTCATACACACATAATGCTTCCTACTATCACAGTGAACTGCACACAAAGACTGGAGCAAGAGGTGGACAAGAGTTTAATAGAGTTGGTTTTAAAGAAAGCAACACAGAATAATTAATTGCTATTTTGCGCACAATGTGCAAATTTGATTCATAGTAATGTTATTAAAGCAAGTAGGATGAAGTTAACCAAATATTACTTTAAAAACCAAACTTTGATATATTTTCATTTTCTTATAATAACAGTTGCAGAAATAAAAAAAATGAATAAATCAGATTAGGTTCAACTAGGAAAGAAAAAGACAGCATTCTTTGAAAAATTTAAAATTTTCTTTGGAAGAAGTCCTATTCATCTACACATAGCTTTTTTTATACCAAATATTGATATACAATTCATCAGCATTCACAATTCTTAAAAAGCCTACTCAATATTTTCTTTAGGTTTTCATAATTCTTTCTGTTAACAGAACTGCATGAAGAAATTGGAACTGATTAGTAGCTAGTTGCCCTGCTAGTTATTTTGTCATATAATCAACAGGGAGAACTAAACTGAACAACCAAAGTAATCTGAGTTCTATAGGGAGCTGACTCTGCAAAATGAAGAAGCAGGCTGAGAGCTGGGCATGTGTGGTGATCCACAGTGATCAAGCAGCTCTGCTGGCAGGATCACACACTTATCTAGTAATTTTATTTTAGGTCTCAGTACTGGAATCAATCTTAAATACAAAAATCTGTGTGCACTAGGTATGCTGTGTATGGGCAGAAAGAAATACACTGTATATGCATGAAATCTAACCTATCATCGATGGCAGGATATATAATACATGTATAAATGGAAGACTAGATCATACTATATGGAATGTAGTTTTTATCTAATAAATTGCTTTTTTCCTTCTATTAAAATCTGCCCTCCTACTTTTAACATTCAGAGATTTTCAAATAGAAAGTGCCAAGCCTTCTCCCACTTGTATTAACTGAAGCTTAGCAACATGTAAGAGACTTGGTTCTTAATCAAAAAATATAGAACCACTTAATGGAAGAATGTAAAGTATAATTTCACACAAAAGCTATTTTGGCAAAACAAGTAGTAGTTGTTAGCTACAACACTTGGAAGCCTCTGCCATACGCTCAAATATAAATTTAGATAAGAAAAGTGGATGGGGGGAAAAAACAGAGCCAGGAAAGTAAACAGTGTGTGTAGCAGAAAACAGTTGCATTTACAGTACTATCCAGCTTCTGGAGAGAAGCCAGAGACCTTCCCATGAAATCCTTCTGTGCTTTTAACGCTGTTGCAAAGCTTCAGGGATTTCTAATTGTATAAACAGTTATGGGAAAATGAGATTAACTGTGACGTCTATGTCCAGCCAGTGCTAAAAGTGATGACTGCATCTCAGCATCAGTCATTTTAGAATACGAAGTTTCTGACTAGCAATTCATATGAATTTAGCAAAATTGTCTCAAATTCAACCAGGTAGGAGTTTCTTTTCAGTCTGATTATACAGTCAGCATCCCAAAGCTAAAGCATGTACATCTCATTCCTCTGAAATACATTTAGATGTTTGGTTGTCTTTTGATTTTAAATAATGCAGCTCGTCCAATATTTTTATTATGATAAAATTCTAGTGCTTTAAAAATCTGCCCTTCACATAAGCCTAAGCATAGATATTTTAAAATTACTTACTGTACATCTTCATATTTTGTTAAGGCATGAACAATGGCATATGAATGGGAACAGCTTCCGGAAAAGCATATCGTTTTGACAAAGGCCAGTCCAAGCACATCACATCAAAGGACTAACCTGAAGCCAGAAATGTCAGTGTTGTGACCCAAGAGTTTTTAACAAAAATAGTTGAAACAAAATGGATGTTTTTCTCTTTTTCTTCCTTTTTTTTTTAATTTAAAGTGTATTACTCTTAATGTCTGTTTAAAGCACCGGTTGCAGTCTTGCGCTTACCACCTCTTCTGAGTGACTTTGGATAACTCATCTGCTTCTTTTGTTCTGAATTTTCAGCATATGAAACTTTAAAAGGTTTTTGTTCCTTTTTTTTCTTTTTTTTTTTTAAATGGCTGCTGCAAAATTAAAAAGATCCAGAAGTGGTCAGGGGCCTGGTCTAATGCACTTTCAAAAGTCCATTATAAAGATGAATATAAATGTGTATGATACGTTTTTTCCGTAGACCCACAAACCACGCTTAGCTATAAGAAACATATTGTGCATAGTTATTTTTTTTTCTTCAGAGTGATATGTTTACTAGATCTACATTCTCAGTTTACCAGAGTACAGGAATGTCTACTTTACTAAAGCCAGGATCCTTTCGCAGTTCCCAGTAGGTTTCATTGCTAACCCAGGCTTCTCTTTGATTAGTGTCGATAACTTTTCTGCAGAAAGTGGAAAAAAAAAAAGAGGGAGATGGAGAGGGAAAAAAGTTTTGACCATAGATCTCTTATGCAATGTAAAATCAAATTCCAAACCTCTCTGATCTAACCAATATTAAATACAATTTCGTATTTCTAAAGGACACAAGAACAGTCACGGATTTAAAAACAAAAATCAACCTCTACCTATGTCAAAAGTGGAAGATAGAGAAAAGAGCCTACAAACAGATTGCAAACCTGTTGTCTGATATGTGTGAACAGGTCTTAGAGCCATATAAAACCTCTCTGGCCACTACAGATTCTGATTATGTGCAGGGGATCATTCAACAGCTGTAGCTTGCAGAATGTAAGCCTTTTACCATTTTTTTTTGTCTCCCCTGTATTTTGCTCACATTATACTACCACTGCATCAAGCACATTCAGTCTTTTCACTTTTGATTCCCCATGCTAAATATCGGGCTATTTGGTATGACTATCCCTTGTTTCAGAAGAATGCTTAATGAAAAACCAACAGACAAAAAAGCCCTTCCCTCTAAAATAAATAAACTTTAGGTGCATACATATACATTTATATATACATTTTAGATATATATAGATATAGATAGATATATATACATATGTTCAATGTTGTTGTTCAGGCCACACATTACTTGGTTTATGCAATGACTTAAAAAAATAACCTAGGTAAATCTCAGATTTCAATATTATACTTCTATTCCACTTCAAAGTTCAATGAACCAAGGGGTTCATTTGGCTTGTATAGCTGTCGCCCATTGTGAGAAAGTGATCTTTCCATTATGAAGCTTTAAACTATGTAAAAAATGCTTCACGCAGAGATCAGGTATCTAATTATGTTTCTTGAAACTGCAACTTTCCAAGCTTTCATGATTAACAGACTAGGTTGGTGGTAACTCTTGTAGTACTTTGTCCAGTTACACTATAGAAAACAGAAACTTATCGCTCAAGTAAATAGACTCACTTAAAAAATTTGGGTACATATTCGATGCCATTTTCTTCCATGTACCGCCTCCGAGCTCTCTGAAGTTCCTCTATTCTTTGTTTCTCAGATGCTGCTGCTTCTATATTTCCCTCCTCCAGAAGCCTGTAGGATTAACAGCAGGCCCTATAGCAATCATTCAGTGTCGAATACAAGGGATTTTTTTAGCACCAATCATCACAAAAGGTAAGCAGAAGCCAAGTCTGCTGTCTGTGTTGTACCTACTTTCAGATCTAGTCTGAGATGTGACTTCCCAGCTACATGTGCCTGACCTATAGCCTAAGGCATACACTTTCTTCAGTAACTTCAGCATATCACAAATGCTGAAGTACTATGAACTGAGAGTTTGGAGGGAATTAGTGTTGCTTCCATTCATAGCAGGAGGGCATGACATTCAGAGCCTGTCTTTCAGCTTGTTAGGAGAAATCTGCCCCAAGATTGCACTACAGCTTTACCATAGAAGAAGCTTTCTACTTTAACTTAACTGGATAAAACAAAAATTTGATTGCAATACTGTCTTCTCTACTAGCAGAATTCTCCAAAGCTTAATTCAGACTGCAGTGAAGACACAGACAAAATTCAAGACTCAGCCAAACCCAGCCTTAAGCCCCCCAAATATTAAGTGTATAAATAACCATTCTTGCCTTTGATCTGGCCTGAAGCGGGCATCTGTTGCAGGAAGAAGATCTTTCAATAAAGGATCTAATTCATTTAGCTCAATAGCAAACCTTGTGAAGCCGTAATAACGTTCATAATTGGTTGGCATCGAGCCTGTATGCATATAAGAGAAAGAAAAAAGCTTTTTAAGCTATTACTCTAAATATGCAAGAGATTCCTTTATTTATTAAATTCTAACAGAAAAAAATAATATATTTTACTCTTACAATTAAAAAGCATCAAAACTAGGTGGAACAAAATTCACTAAATATTAATTTCAACTGCTTATCTGCAAAGGTTGTAATTACATGCTAATAGACTAAAAACTTTTATGATCTTCACTCCTTTTAAAATAAAAATTAATGTTTTCAAGATTTTCAAGTAAAAAATAATTTGCTGTTCCCCAGAAAGTGGGCTTAACAAATATCTGTCAAAAACCTGAACTTAACTGATCTTTAGAGTTAATTTTGGAACTTACTGCTCCCTCACAGACTGATTCCACTGTCCAACACCTTACTGCACTATCAGCAGTCACAGCAGACATTGCAGAGAGCAGGGTGCAAAACAGGGCTCAAAATACTACAGATACAGAGCAGGATTCAAAATACTAAGAATAGTGACAATTCCTGGATAATGCATGTATGAAAGATACACGCATGTACAACAGACACAGATGCAAAGGATGATTCATTCAACCTCAACGCCTCTAAGCAAGCAGTAAGGAAGTTGAAATTAGATCTTAAAACCATCTCTGATGACCAATTCTTAAAGCTAATAAAGACAACAAACTCAAACTCGTATTTGTTGAATCCAAGTGAGTTACCTCACTCTCTGTGAGAAGGCAGACTGGCCAGCCCAGACACCTGTTTTTTTTCTTAATTTTATTCTCATGTTGACCCTAAGAATCCAGTCTGACCTGGAGTCAGACTGTGACGTGGAAGATTATGCCCTGTAAGAACACTTTCATTTACCACTATTTTAAAGTCATGTAAGTTCTTGTTTATTTGTCTAGCCGGGAATTTTAATTTCTCTAGCGGTATTTTGTGTACTTAAAGTGAAGGCTAAAACAGTTTTACGTAGTCTAGGTCTAGGTTTACCCCACAACACCTGCTGGAGTTAATTATGAGCTTCCTACCTGGCCTCCATATGCATTTGGCTGAAGGTGCAACTCCACAGTAAAGGCCTTCATGCCACTTTCCAAAGAGACGATGAACCACTTTCCCTTCTTGATCTATCACAACACCCTGGACCTCATTTACATTTGAATTCCAGTAGTTCACCTGCAAGTTTAAGCAAAAATTACTAGTTCACACTCTTTTTCTCTCTACCTATTGTACCAATACACATACTGCACGAATCTTGCTATGTGGCACCCACTGTCCAAATTTTGTATCGGAACAGCTCACTGGGAACCAAGACTACCAAAATTCGAAAGTCAGATGATCTGAATATTAATTGATTTAATATATGAGAAACCCTGAATAATTTTCTACGTGGTTTTGGCATAAAAGGATTTAAATTATCTGCACATCTGGGAACTACATGGTCATGCATTAACCCAAATCCCACACAATTCTGTGAAAATGACACTTTGCCAGTCGAAGCCAACTAACCCCTCCTCTTCCTATATGAAGAAATACCCGTACCTGTAAGGAAATCCTCTGATGGGTGCCATGCACTACTGCTTGCAGCAAGGAAGACATTCAGCCAATATTATTTGTTATTTGTTTCTTTCTATTTCTCTTCTCTGTTTTGCTTTTATTAGACACATTTATTTCTTATACCTTCATCTAAGAGCCAGCTGCCCGTTCTCAGAACATCAATCAAAACACAGATTTCAGATTTATGGTAACACTCCATTGCTAACACTGCAATGGTATAGATGTCTTTTGTTGCAATATGAAGACAAACTTATTTTTAGGGAAAATAATTGACAGTAATAAATGATAACATAGCTATACAGAGTTCTATTTTTATATATGGTCGTTGCCTCAATATTAAAATACTATGAACCAAAGCAGCATTATTTAATCTAAAGAGATAAAATATTGACCAACAAATTCTAGTAAAGTCAGAAGTAAAATGGCACAGTAGCACACAGTGACTTTGTGTTTTCATTGTGGTAATATAAAAAAAATTGACATTTGATTTTTAATCTGAACCCAGGAACAGTACAGCACACAACTATACAGCAATGGAACACACTGATATCAAATGTTCAGTGGAATAGAATCATACCATTTGACATAGCATTCTCATTTGAAAATTTACATATTTATGAACACTGATAAGATAAAATGTGGAATGTGGATTTCAGGAATACTGAAGAAATCAAGAACTGATGTATGCTTAAATTATGTAATTATATAAATATAGGATACGTATCAGGATCCATATGTTACCTTGACAAATGTGAGTTTACAAATACAAATACTGCTTTTTGTGTTTCTGATAGTTATCTCTCCATAGTGCTCTATCCATCTCCTTCCACTAAGAATATTATGTATGCAAGTAGTGACTTTGTTCCAGACATAGTAGTCTCCGTACCTAAGAACAGATTAAAAACTAGTTGGTAACATCTATTAATCATGCTCTTTACTGACAAAAAAGTAAAACATTGCTTCATTATTGTAAATACAAGACCATATTGCTCATAAACATCTGCATAGCTTACAGTAATGAAGTACTGCTTCTGGGTACATTATTAATCCTCCTTAGAGAAGCTCACCTAAGGTCCCCTGCAGAGAACTCCAGAATGGTGCTATGAACCACAAATCAAGACATTATGAACCACTGAAGCCCTGCATGGAATATTCACTGTCCTCACAGTAAAGTGCTTTGGCCACAATTCCTATCAGGGCAGGATGGTGTCTCACAGACCAACATGTGGCTGAATTGAGATTATAAGCTGACAATATAAATAAATCACAAACAGAACAAAATAAATATGAAAAGAAGATCAAGGAAAGGAAGGAAGCCAGGAGCACATTGGTGCATCATCCCTTTCTCTCTGTAACAACTATCCAGAGCCAGAGGATCTTTAATGTCAAACAAGAATAAAATGAGGGTATTATATTGTGCAAAGCACATTCACCATCAGAGCTTCAGAGTCTTACCTGTGGTGAAACTATTACTTCTCACTACTCTGCCAACATCTGAAGAACATGCTTTAGTTTATCTACATTTTGAAAAAAGGACTTATAGGGCCACTAGTGGTTGTTCTGAGGGAACACTTAGCAACACTGAGAGCTTTAGGACAGTGCTAGCTGCTGACAGTCCTATACAGCAGCCTTGTTCACTACTGCACATATAAAACATGGGTTCTCTCTCCTGAAACATTTCTATCCCCCTCTCTCCATCACTTTCTAGAGAGTTTGCATATTTTTCCTACAAAAAATGAAATGGATCTTCAGGCTCAAAAATGCTTCAATAACCCCACCTGAACACTAAAGAGATGTTTGAGCCAGGCATTAACCCTCACTAGTACAATTCATGTGATGTCTGTCTACATTTTCCCCCATATTCACAAGGCAGCACAGATTACATTCCAGCAAAGACTGAAAACAAAAGGAGAGAGGACAGTAGCTTACTTTGGAAGAGTCACATTCAAGGTTCCAACTGGTAGAATTTCCATTGATTTCCCCCAGAATTTGTTTTTCCACCTGATATCTGAATATAATAGTGAAAGATTTAAAAAACTAAAATGACCAAAGTCTCCCCCTTGCAGTGATCAGTGTGACACAAGAGATGATCTGTGCTAGGCCACCCGGTTCAAAATAGGACAGTAGATAGTATCAATTTGCCACGATAATACAAAAGAAAAAAAAACCACTAGAAAATTACATTAGGTCAGAAAAACTAAAGATAAGTTTAATTTTCTTCTAGGAATCACGTCTGTGCTACATTATTGTCAAAGCCCTCATGAAGACATTCAATATAAATTAAAGGCATATGTCAATAGATACAAGAAAAAAAGGAGTTATTTGTTCAAATGTGTAAAAAGAACTCCTTGCATTTGTAAGAAATAGTAATTTTCTTGGTAAAAAGCTTTTAAACAGAAAAGTAAAAACAGACTGCAAATGACAAGGGAAGTTGTAACACGTTTGCTCACTCTTAAGAACGAGAATTGGGAGTGAAATCAGACCATCAGTTTATAATGTTTTTGAAGATGTTACTTCAAAAATAAGCAGAGAAATTTTGAGTAAGTTCCAAATGCAAATCTCAGGTTGTACTGACATGTTTTTACTTGACAATCAAAAAGAATTTATGTTTTTAAATTAAAAAACTATACCTTGCCAAAACACGAAGTTCTTCGATTCACAGTGACAGGCTGAAATTGGAGGATGGTGGCTAACCTGGAAAACAGTTTGGTTGAGTTAAAAACATTTAATTTTCATTCCTAAGACAGTACAATTGTTATTGAAATATGAAAATACTAAATAGCCCCCACTCTTCAGTATCCTATGTGTTAACAGAGACAACTTAAATGTTTGTACTTAAAACAGTTCCTTGCGATTACTATAAAAACATATACCTTCTAGCATTTAATGAAACTCATTCATACTAACAATATTTATTTACTACTAAGAAAGCAAACTATTCTAACTAGAAATAAAAAATGATATTATTCTATAAAAATGAAGAAACCAAAATCTAAATGGGAGTGTCTATCTAGAAAAAAGTTTTACCTGCTCTGAGAAAAATCTAAATCCTTTGTCTTCTCTAATACATTCATAAGTTTCTCCAAGCAAAGGGTTAAATGGCTTGCTTCCTGCTCTAAAGTAGGTAGAGGCATAGCCTGACGCTGCAAAAGCAGCTATGAGAACCTGTGAAAATACAGACAAGAACGTGAGAATATGCAGAGATTCTTGCGTACAGGCCATTACTATATGGTATCACACAATTCACTCTACCCAGACTGAAAACTGGATTAATGAAGCATGCCTGAGAATGAAGCCATGCATCCCAGCCAAAACTAGCATAAACTGTATTCCTTTTGTTGATATAATTTCTTTTTATTCATGGCCTCATTCAGTCTTTCAACAGTCCCTTAAAACTACAATTCGTACATGACACTGTTTTTCTACCTTTGACCAGGTCTGTTGTCTGTGAACAGGGAGAGCAAGAGAGGACCCTGCCTGGACCTCCACTCAAGAACTCCCTTTTCAATACAGACAGAAGAAGTGCCACACTAAATTTATTACCATGCGTTCATAAGGATCATCTGTTTCAGCAGCCTTGTCCAAGAGTTCACTGTATTCCAGCTCTTCACAAAGATGTTGCAAGGTATTCAGAGGTTCGTTTAGCTCAACTGGCATGGATACTTTGGAAAGATCTTTTCCAATGTTATTTCTCAAAATATTCCACAGATTGATGTTACTGGTGTCAGGGCTGGGAGCTGGGAGACAAGTTCTCCGTCCATTTCTGAATGCGCCTCCTGTTAGCTCACCATTAAGAACTGGGAAGGGAAAAAAATATTATCATAAGAAAGAACCAGATAAGAAAAATAGACTTCTCCATCGAACCAATTCATTGCCAGAACAAGCAAGCCCAACTTCACTGTTTTCAGCTGAGTTGGTCTTGTACAGACATGCAGTAATTCTGGTACATGAACATAGCCAATGTAATTTTCCAAAGTTTGAAACACAGTATACTTTGCCGAGAAATGTTGTCTGCAACACTGGTGTTGTCCTCAGATATATTGTCGCTCACATCACTGATATAAGATTCATCATCAGAAGCCTAAAACATAAATAAAATATCAATTAACTCAGATACATATAAAATATACTGCCAAATTAGACAAAAATAGTAAACTGAAACACAAATATTCAAAGTAATCATCTCTACCCAATTAGAGCTTTTAACTAAATCACCTGGATGTTTCAATCAGCCCATACTGCCAATGCACTAAAGGTGTCAAAACAAATGCTACATTCTCCTCATGTTTCTGAATTTCTTACTATGAAGCCAAAAACAGACATTAAATTTGCAAAAGGTGGCTTCAAGTGAGATCACAGAACAAAAAATTGACAACATAATGTGCTAGGGATGGAAGGTGAGAAGAGAGAGTCAGATTTGTGCTCTTTATAAAGAAGCAAACGATAAAACGCAGCTTCTGTTTCAGAAAAAAATTATATAAATATCAACCTATCATTTTGCAAAACAAGAATCACATTGGTGTTAGGACTGGTTTTAAGAATTGTTTTAAACAATTATTTTTTCCAGAAATACTACTTTTTTGTCTATTTCTCTCATTACAGAGCATAACTTTATGTGTACAGGAGAAGACTGTTGTTTGGGGGACTTTTTAAGAATATTTTAGAATCTAAATTTAGTTGACTGCATAGTCAGACATAACTGTTCCTCTTATGTCATCCTTATGTGGAACTAGAAAGGACATGCACTGAATATAAGCTACTGATACAAATAACTTTCAACTCAGTTTTACATCTCAGGGAACATCTGCACCTCATCACATGGTAGTCTCATGTTTATTTATCTACACCTTCTAAGTAGCATTATATAAAAAAAAGTAATTCAGTAGTGGTAGCAATACCTAAATCTGTCCAACAGCAAAGCTGCAGCATGCTGTCACAGCCTACCTCATTTTCTGACGAGCTGGCAGATAGAAGCACTTCCTGTGCATCAAAGAACTCTGAAACAGATTCAGACATAGAGAGCCTGCTTTCATTAGAAACTTGCTGAGACAGTGGCAAACTGACATGAATTTGTTCACCTGTCTGTAAATAAAGCACAGAAAAGTAAAAGTATTATTTCTAATATACAAGAAATATGCATAGAAGGTGTAAATCACTTGACTAATTTTTTTATGCCAAATATAAGCACAGAGAGTAAAGAGAGAATTTTAGTAGTACTGTGTGTGTACCTAACAGATGAGACTGAGAATTACAAAACGAAGTGCATTTTGAACAGAGAGATACATGTCCTCATTTGAGGCCTGCTCTGCATCTACTGCTAAGTTTTAGTAGCATGAAATTGCAGATTTAATTCTCTATCGAAAGGAATGATTTTGTGGACAATAGCTGGATTGTGTCAGACAAGTTCAAACATGAAATTCAGATGAAAGGACACCTGGTTATAACAAATTACATCACTGGGACCTAGCCTTGATACAACCAAAATTTGAATATAAATTTTTATAAGGTCAGGGAGTTATAAGTTACTTTCCAAATAAACAACCCGGTGAACCAGTTTAGCAACAATGTCTGTAGTGTCTGAATATTTAGGAGGATGGGTATAATATATATTTGTGGGCTTTTATTTCATGTTTGTACTCCAAATCTCATCTGAATTATGCCATTAACACTGACTCAATACTACTAAAGGGAACAAACTCTCTATGGTTATCACATTAAGGAAAATTAAGATTCTCTCCCTGTACGATTTTACCAAAGGATCTGCTGCTGTGGAGGGAAACAGGCTTCTGACTTAATCCCTTAATTTATACAGCATGTTGCTTCTGGGAGATAATACAGATGAAACTACTGAAGCCCTTCTAAACACAGTTAACTCTTCAGATTGCAACTCAATCCCCATTAATCTTATTCCAGATGTCCTGCATATGGTTTTGTTGACATCTTAATCCTGTAGCATTATTCCATACAGTTACCTCAAAATACACTACGAAAAAAAATCACAAAAACTCCCATAAACAAACCAAGAGGTCAAAACCCATTTCTTTTTCATTGGGACTTATAAGGTTGTAGATAGTTTGTATGCTGGATGAATCATAATGAAAATAGAAGTAATTTCATTGTAATCTTTACAGGAAGTGATTAAAATTTTGAAGTTTTGTATAAGCTAGAGGGACTTGGAAAAATACACATGTCTCTACCTGAAAAAGATGCTTATATGTGAATTATCTACACACTGCAAGATTATACATATACAAAACAATCAATAGAAGAATTGAATGAGAGATCTGGAAACCTCTTTGAAAAGCTCCTTCAGTCAGGCACACTTCTACCAAGATAACAATGTATGTGTGAAAAAGAAACAGCTAACTAACAAAAAATACAAAACAGAGGAGATGGCCATTGCCTAGAACTTCACTGCAGATTGCTGTGCTGTGGTACCACTTCACTTTTGTCTTCTGTTGCCTGTCTCCAGCATGCCGGTTTCTTGGAAAAATTGTTTGGACGCTTTCAAAAAGCAAATTAACAAAAGTAATTTGAAACATATTTTAACCTTTCTTTCTTCTTGGAAGAAATAATTAGGAGACAAGAGTATGTTAATTGAAATAGTATATGCATAGAAAAAAATAGTAGAAATGACAAATCAAAAACATTTTGGTAAAATCAAGCAGAATGGTTGTCAAAGTAACCATATTAGTTGTAATATATTACAGCTCATAAATTCAGATTTGTCATGAGGGAAGCTTGCTGTTATTAATACAAATGTTCGTTAATCTGTTAAGCAAGACAAGAAAGACTAGATGTTGCAAACATATTAGTGTAGGTTCATAGACTGAACCTTCTGATTTTAGCAGTACCACTCAAGATACTTAAGAAATGTCAGGTCCTTTAAGGAATTGCAAAATAAGGCCTTTAAATACTAAACTGTTCTGTTGATTTGGCAAGAAACTAATATACAGAACTGGTTAGCTACTGTGTGTTACATTCAAATGCAGTAAAACCTCACTAATTCCCACAGCCAACAATTAACATTCCAAAACTGGAGCCCTTCTCTCTTCCTCTAAAGAGACCAAGCTGAGTTCTTTCATGAGGTCTGACATATGCAAAACAAAAGACAGAAGTTTTATTTTATGTAAGGAAATATAACCTGATTTCTTCTACGAATGAACACTTGCCAATCTGAAAAATTCTATTATTTGTCAGGTGTGTTTAAACTATCAGTGAGAATTAGCAAGGTTTGTTTGTACTCTAAATCCATTAAAGGCCAAAGTCTTACCTCATCAGGACTAGGGATAATATTTACACTGACAACCTGATCACAAATAACAGATTCTGAATGTATTCTGTTCAAGCGACTCCTTAGTTCAGCATTCTGGTTGAGAGCCTTAAAATAAAAATTGCACATTTCATTTAAAATTAAAATGTAAGCATTTAAGACCAAAAAAAAAGAAAAAAAAAAAGAAAAAAATCTTCCCAGCAATTTCCTAAGAATCACAGAACCTCCTTTCTTCCACTTATAGAGAGATACCTATTTAGAGATCCTCTCTAATATGATTTAATCTTTGGTTACTTTGCCTTCAGTGATTTTCAGGAAACAGGGGGAACAGATCTTCTCCCACAGTGTAACACTAGCATTCTACCTTAATTCTTTAGATAGCTCTTTGGGAGGTGTACTGGTGGGTTATGTACATTGTGGAAATGGGGAGTGAATACAGTAAGAAAGAGTGAAACTGCAGAACAACAAACAGGAACTACCCACAAAATACCCAAAGAGGTAATTCTGGGCTTACAACTATACAGCCCCTTCCAAATCAAGGTTGTCAGCATTTAGAGCCTGAAAACAGAAACTGCTTTATTCCCGGTAAAATCAACACAACTGCTAGTATCATTGTCTGCCTGTCCAGATCAATTTTATAGATTTGTTTTTGAGTACTTATTTCAAACTACTGATCCACTATAGTGTCACAAATACCAACAGAATTAGGCTGATATATGATATCTGCTGATTTTTCTCCTAATTTAAAGTCCAACCTGTATTATAAATTTGGGTGCACATTTACATATTATCTGTTATTTGGAAAGATTCACATGCAGGATTCTGAAATCCAGAAAAAGTAGAATATGCTACATATCTAGAACATGAACTGGCTTAACCTTAATATACTCTCAGCACTGAAGACCATAGAAAAGAACAACAGCAAGACAGGCTCTTTCAGTAGACAAAGACTATTACAATGAAGTAAGAATCTTGTTCTATCTCCCCCTAGTGCAGACTCAGGAAGAAACTGCATGAATGTACTGAGACAAAGCAGGACCAAAGTAAAATTGGTAAATTTAAACTGTCACTAAATAGTTTAAATTACCCAATTTTGCTTTGTTCTGAAACAGTCTGGGCATACTTAAAATTGCCATCTACCAGGAAGGGAAGGTGACTTAACAGCAGCCTGGCAGTAGCTTCTTAAACTGCTCAAACCTGGTCATGAGATTGGACAACCCGAGTCACAGTCAATTTTCCATTTATTCTCCATTAAGGCTATGAACTAATGTGTGACAGTGACTTTTAAACTAACACTGCAGGCCAGGACCTAGAAGAAAACCTGTTTCCTTTTTTTTAATACAAGTTGCTAATAAATCCCTACAGGTCTTAGTTAATTTGTATTAATTACCTCTTGTCATTAACCTTTTTTTATTACAACACACACTAATCAATCTGCATAACACGATATGAATCTGTATCTATATCTATAAAAAAGTTTGTCTTTAAACCTCTGCTCATATTCTTGCAGATGCAATCCTCCATACAGATCCAGCAAAAGCTTTCATGCTTCATTGACAATGAATTAAAAAAATTGAGCTATCTTGTAACCTGAGGACTTACTGTTGCTTTACTTCTTCTCCCCCACTAAAGCAAATTGTAATTTTTCCTTTAGCTTAAGTGGGAGAGATGCTGGACAGTAAGAGGCATGTATCTGGAAATCCAATTTACCCATGATTATCTTGTAATCCAAGATTCCTTGTGCAGTTAGAGACACGGATATATAAAACAAATCTGACAACATACAGTCAAAATTTAAAACTTAATTATGAAAACAAGGATATCTCCTTGGCTGTGCTGTAAATAGCTCCAGGAAAGATATCTAGCATTTGTATAAAAAGATTTGGTGCTTTTTCTTTACTTTGGAAAACCATAACAGATACATGCTTACACAAACAAATTATATCCTTTACCTTCACATGCACTGAGGTTAGAGCAATGTCATAACAGAACACATCATAGTTCTAGTCAAGAACTTGGCTTTTTCTTGGCTCCTTTTACCTCAGGAAATGGCTAAAATACAAAAGAAATAGTGCATCTTGCAAGCTAGATGTGCTCAAAATGAAATTAAGAACATACCTGAGAGAGGGACTGTCTGAGGTGTGCTATTTGAGCATTGTGGCCTGTAAGATCCTGCTCTGAAACAATCTGCTTAAGCTTCTCCTTCTCTATAGCTATGCTGTTAAAGGCAGACTTCAAAAGAGAATGCACTAAGCAAAAAGAGAAAAATAAAACAAGTGTTTTCTTGGCTACAGAAATCACATTGACATCTATTACAATATTTCAGCAATAAAGACAGCAAGTGAGACTTCCATCCCACAATTATGGACATTTGAAACAAGGATCTGAACTTCAAGTAATCTATGCCAAATTAAGTACAAACACTTACAGCTTGCGATTGTAATGTGCATACTGTATGTTCACACATAAGTCATCTGGGAATATTCTTGGTACTGAACATATGGAAAGGTGCGTATTTTGGAAAACTGTTTCCAATGTGTGTTCTTTTCTCTCTGTTTTTTATTTGTACTTTTTAGAAAAACAGAAAAATCAGTTCTGCTAAGACTTAATGTTGCACTAATAAAGAGGATTACTTGGTCTTGAAACAGGTTTTAAACTTTTTTAAGATGTCAGCCTCACATTTTTTCTGTGCTTGTTATATAACAGATAGCAAACTGATAACAAACCCTTTTAAAAATAGTAGTTTTCAGTTTGTAGGAGCATTCACTTACTGACAATAAAAGAGCATTTCTAAAGTACATTCCATTACATTTTCCATTGTTTCCACTGACGTAGAAAATATTGCACAACATTATGTGTAGCAGTGACATTCTGATTTATTTTGGGGAGAAAGAAAGCATTTTACTGAGAAAGAAAATGGTTGCAAGTTCAGTCACATATTTACAGGATGCGAAAAGTAGTTCAGAAGACCTGTAAAACAATCTCACATCAGATAGAGAGTTTACCTACCTCTATATTTATGACATTCATGGAAAATATAACACGTTGCCTTTATGTAAGCCACTTGACCAGCTAAAAATTCTTATACATTATCATTTAATGCAGATGAATGCCCTGATCATAACTAAGTGAAGGCAATAAAGGAACACAACAGAGAAGCACATTACAAGAAAGGCTTGACATTTCCGGTTACCTTTTTGTGCCATCAAGCAGAATTCTTCTTGAAGCTTCATGTACTCAGTAGAGCACTCCAGAGGGTCTGTTACATGGCTTGGGGGAGCCTGAAACTCAATGTCTGCACAAAGGTTGGGATTGGATGAATGCAATCGAATGGGTGACATTGTAGCACTGAAAGGGACCTACAGCAAGAAACAGTGAAGAAATATTGTATAAGGTATAACCAAACTTTTGACTCCGTTGAAGCAAAATATAAATTTCTTCTGAAAAGACTTAGTTCAAAATGTGAAGAACATGGTGAGAGTGAACATGTAACTTCTTACTCTCTTAAATCTCAACACAGTTGATGCAGAATTCTCTTGAAGTTTTTCACTGAAACAGACAAAAGGCGACCTAAATACAAAGCTAACAGCTAATGATGGAGCATTTAAATTCTAATGTTTCAAAAATGGACAATTTCCTAATGCTTAGAAGATTACTGGAAAACTGAACCATGAGACATTTGAGAGTACATGTAGATGACTGTTGTTACAATACCAACATTTGAAGTATGCAAGTTCCTCCACAGACCTAAAAACAGGATATAACATTATCAAATATATCATTGAACTTTTTCAAAACTGCTGGTAAATCTTTAGCTGAAACTCATACTGGTAATTATGAAGACGGAAAAAGCACATAGTCTTTCTATTTTCTTTCATTCTAAACAAACAAACAACAACAACAACAAATAAAGTAAAAAATCCACCTGATTTTCATTTAAAGTGCATGAACCATAAATAAATGCAAAGAGATATGGTTTAGTAAGATGGAGCAAAGAATTTAGTTTATTATAATTTCCACTTCTCTTTCTCCTATACTTTTCAGGTATAGTAATAAAACAAGAATTTCTAAGTTGCATATATATGTATCGTGTATTGAGCAGCTACCTGTATGGTACATATGCAGTATGTGGCTACCACTGTTATATATGTGATGTGTGTGTGAGTATATGTTGTATTTTATTTTTATGTTACCATTTACACACATTTGTATGAAAATCAGGTCAAGAACCCAATTTTCAAATGTAAATGCAAAGGAAATGCATGCAGAACTAAATTCTGTTACTTAAACTTTAAGCACTGTTTAACATAGTAAGCACTGTTTAACACATTAAATTTAATTCATTTCATCATATTGATCAAATATCAAGAATTTTCACACTGCAGCCCAATGTAATTATTCAAATATGAACAATGGTGCCAAAATATAAAATGTCTCTTCCAAGGCATGATAAAGAGCAGCAGACAACATAAAAAGTCATATTACTAAGAATTTTTATCAACAGATTAGTTCTATACTGCCATCAGTGGTTGAACTTGGTACCTTGTTATTTGATTAGACTGGGGAATGGTTTTATCAATCCCTTCCTGTAAAAGCTGACATCAATATGTTTTAGATTTCTGATTCTCCAGTTAAACGCTCAAAATCCTGTGGGATCGATTCATCATGCCATTCATGAGCATATTCTGTGAAACACCATTTTCCACTCTGTTCTTCCTCAATTTCCAGATATATATAGCATATAAAACATTAGCTTTGTGGCACCTATCCAACATAAGGTTTATTCCTTCTCTCATGTATTTTGAGTTCTAGTTATATCAACAAAGTACATAGTTTTTACTGAACCTCATTTTAGCCTCATATCAAGAAGATTTCATTAACAGGAGATGTATAGAATAAATTCCTTCTATTTGTGGATATTTAACCCATTATCTTCTTTGCAAGCACCAGACTGCCTCTTTTAAGAGCCCAGGAAAACTAGGTTAATAGACTACTGTGGCTAAACATAGGTTAATTTCAAATTTCCTTTAAAAAACCTTTCCTCTTCTTAAATCAGAGAGAGTGTTTCCAGAACCTTCTGATGGGGAGTACTGCAAAGGTTCAACTGCTCCAGGTGGCTCCAGGAGGGCAGAGTAGCCTTGATACCTCTGTGTGTGTGGAGTATGTACCTAACCCTTCAGACCATCCAGAAGGTAGGAAAGAAGCTGATCCCAGCTATAATGCAGGAGCTTGAGGGAGAGTCCCCACAGCCTCATGTGCCTGTGGGGATGGGTCAGGTTGCCCCAGACCCACACAGACTGGCAGAGCTGCAGGCAGGCTGCCCACACGTGGTGGGGGGCTCTTTAGTCACTCTGATGAATCTGGCTGAAGACATCTGCTTTAGATTCATCATTTCTGCCTCATACCTCAGCTAGGCAGGCTGAAAAGGACTCTTTCTGAAGTGAGGTTTACTGGAAAAAAATATTTTAATTTATGTCCTAGAAGTAGAATTTACATGTTCTACAAGTACTGTCACACTACGTGCAAGAAATATACATTCACATGACAGAGATAAGTAGCTGCCTTGCTGAGTGCTTTAAATACAAGCACCAAAAATACTGAACTACTGATTGACATGAACTCTCCTCATACGCATCTTTTAGAAAAGTTTCCAACCTACCTTCTATAACAGATGAAAAAACCCACATTAAACAAAAATTTTCATTCTCTTGCATAGGCACGAGTCCAAAAAACACTGCCAACATATTTCTCTTACCCTTTTTCCCTTGCACTGACATGTTTTCTCTCTATATTAATGGTGAATTGATTCTTACTTTATAACCCATTCACATTTTGGGTTTTTTTTACTGTTGTTGTTTTGAAAGTTTTAAAAAAAATATTTAGCCTCTTGATGCATCACTCTAGTTTCCTTCATACACACCCTTCCAGACATGACCTCAGATGAACCTTGTCCTAACTTCCTGCTTTATGCCAGAGGCATAATATCCACCCATCCATCACCTTCTTCAGAATTATGTTTTCATGTAGGAACAGACTGTTCCTGGTGGAGTGGGTTGTAAGGAAAATGTCCTCTTTCTGCTGTGCATTTAACTGATATAATTCTGTGTCCCTTGGTCTATGCACACAGCTTCATTTTCTGGGAGAGACGAGCACTTTGCTGCATCAGCCAGGAAGAACACGCCATGGCCACACCACGTAACAGCTACAGAGTCATTTTGGTGCCTCTAGTTTTCCTTCCTCCTGCGCTTTTTCCAGTAACTCCAAGACCTCCTTCAACTGGTCCTCACTTCACCTGCAGGTCATCATCATGGCTAGGCTTCGCGAACGAAGATTTGGGAAGGGCTCTACCCACGTTTCTTGCAAGCGCATTGGTGGCTAAAAAGGCCAATATGAGATAGACACGTCCGGTTGCAAAAGACACAGCAGAAAGACTCCTTAGATGGTATATTCTGCAAGGCTCGATTCTTTCTGTGTTGTCTTTTCTCCTCAAGAGTGATCCTGCGTGCTTTCTCAAAAGCATCAGCAGCGTTATAAATGGTCTGTCTCCAGGCCTCCCGATTGGAGGCCAGAGTAGACCAGTTATGGTGATCAATATGCCCGAGGCTGAGTTGTTGCTTCAGGGAGTCCTTGTATCTTTTCTTCGGAGCTCCTCTCTTGCGACAGCCAGTGGCAAGTTCACCATAGAGCAGGATCTTAGGGAGGCGGTGGTCCTTCATCCTGGAGACGTGCCCTGCCCATCGCAGTTGCGTTCTCAGTAGCATGGCCTCAATACTTGTGATTGCTGCCTGTTCAAGAACAGATGTATTGGTCACGTAGTCTGACCAGTGGATGTTTAGGATTGTGCGGAGGAACCTGCAGGTAACAACTCAGCAATTCCCTGTACTCTTAATGCCTTCCAATCTAAGTCCAGTTGTATTTGTCCACTGAAGCACTCTTTAGGTAAGGAGTACCACCCTTACCAATGCTGTTTAACTACTGCTGAATCTACTGGTAAAAGCCTCCCACCAACTCAGCTGTTCAGCCAATGAAATCAGGAATCGGGCTGATTGCTATGCAGGGAGACTGATGAAGTCAAAATAGCAATCCATTATTGCACAGAGTGTTCAGCATCAACCGATTAGGGAGGAATAAACTTAGATGAGTTAATCTGGAAACTGGAGAAACACTGATTTCTCTCATACTTTTTAGGAGGGTGCAGCAGTAACTGAGTTTGCAGTTCAGGTAGCAGAAGCTCAAGTAGTTAGGCTTAAGCAGAGACTATGTCTGATCTAGGGGATTTTAGCTATGGCCTGGAACAGCAGACCCTGGAGTACTTTAGCCTGGTGAAGATATTCACCACTTGGGCTTGATAAGAGATATGCATTTAAAGCTCATTTCAATCTTTGGCTGCACAGAGTCTTCCCTATCTAGCTGCTGTACTATTTAGTTGATGGATTAGTACTAATGTCTATACTGTGCATTCCTAATGAGTATTTTCTTGATAAATCAGCAGCTGAAGATATCCTTTGGATGGTAATTTGATTTCCCAAACAGGACTTCCCCCACCTAATTCCCAGCCCCTGTATTGGTTTCATAGCTCCATATTTTCTGTCAAAGACTTAGAGAATTAGCAAAATCAAATACAGACACTGAAGTAGTAATATGACTTTTTGGGATTATGGAATGTAAACAGAAAGTGTCTCAAAAGAAAAGGCTAACCTTATATTACTTATAAAATTAATAAAATTTTATAATTCCATGGTTGTTTGTAACAAGTCTCCTTGGTTCTGCTGTCTTGCTATAGACTGTCACAACAATCTTTAGCAGAATTTGATCATTTTTTTATACTATTTTATAGTATATAGCAGAGTATGTCAAAGACATGTTCAAATAGTGCAGGGCCTGAGTCTAACTGTCACTTGCACTTGCATAAAGGAGGAGGGACATGTACCATGTAAACAAGCTCAGACCCACATTTATGGAAATAATTTCTGTTGGGTCTGACCACTCCTAAGGAACTCAGCTAACAGTGGGTAGCACAGACACCTCCAAAAAGTGCAAGAAACATTTTCATAAGCTTATTACACAATCAAGTTATACAGCTTCCCATCTTTAGAGCTATCCCTTGATTTTTAAATCCACTCACTGTTGTAGCCACTGCAGCTGCCAGTCTCTGCCGGCGTCGTGTTGTGCTGAACTGGCCCTTCGGTGCCGGCCCTTCCTGACAGTGAATGCAAGAAGAGAAGGAAGTAGAAAAAGAGAAGGGAAGGGGTGATGGGACACAGGAAAATGAAAGGTGATCAGAAAAGGGAGAGGGAGAGTCTTTAAGTGGGTTTCAACTTTGTTAACTCTTATGGCCTACCCATGCTGAGGACATATCAAGTGATTTCAGTTGTGTATGCCAAGGACATAAAAAGCTCAATACTTCACTAAAATTATCTGTGGATGAGTTGGACTGCAGTGCACTCACTAAGACTACAGAAAAAAAAATCTATTAGCATTGCCATTCAGAGTCATAAGGCAATAATGGAATAAGAAAACAAAAAGGATGCTATGGCATGACAGAGAAAGAAACAAAACCCAAACTCCTTCTGGGGGTCACTAGACCATCTAGAAGATGAATTCTGAAAGAGATCACTTTGCATTAGTGGAAGTGCATAAATTGTGGTCATTGAAGATGCATGCGTCTCAATGGCAGAACTTTTCAGTGTGTATGTTATATAGTGAGCTTGCTTATGTAAACATTCCTATGCATAGCTCTAGCATTTCCACATCCATCCTTGAGTCTACTGACTCGTTTTCTCCACATATCACTTTTTTGAGTTCTAGTTACTTTTCCCATACATTATTGCAGACTTGGCCTCCGAAGCAATGCAAAAACTCAGATAAAGCAGCAGAAATGAAAACTAAGTATTCCAACAGCTACTTTGTTTTCTGTATGCCTAACTTGTGCCTCATCTTGCTTAATTTCACTTTTATTTTCTTAAGAAAATTCATCATGGTAGATTAAAGTCAAGCAAGTAATTATCTAATGCAGAGAAACTCCTCACCCATCATAAAGTCATTCTATTTAACCTCTAGTCAAAATGTCATTATTTTGAAGTCATTTTAAGATTTTGGAAGACTAGAAAATACACCTTTCTGCCTTTAGAAAACAATTCTCAATTCCTTTACCTTTTTATTCCTCTATATCTCCACCTATAGCCACTTCAGGATTTTTAGACCTATATACATTTTTGCTTTTTCTGAAAGCTGCCTGGGCACCATATAAATAACAATGGTATAGACTGGATACAGGGACACATGCTAAAGAACAGGATATTGTATTTCAGTTATTAACTGAACCGTCTTGCTTCTCTAACATTCCCACTGGCAGGGTTGCTGCATCTGAGAATGGCCTAACACTTCACCCTCTGGCTGATACTAGTGGCAATGCTACTGACAAGTGGAAGAGTTGTCTAATGATCACAGTAAGAGAAGACTTCAGGTGTAGTATTTTATATAATTCTGACATTAAAAAAACATGTACATAACCTCTAAAATATTGAGTACAAACTTCATTAAGCAGAAAACACATTGTACGCATAATGTAAAGGTCTTTGTGCTCTACAGAAATATGCCTATCTTGTGAATAAGAGTTTGGAAGAATATTCTTGTTTAAATAATAGGGACATATATATGTACAGAGAGAGAGATGTACTAATATATATACATGCAAGATTATGAATGTAGGTATATTATTAAAATGGTGACAGTGAGCTTTACAGAACCACACGCTCTTCTCAACACGATAGAAAGTGAGGTCATAATCTGAGTTACAATATAAAGAAATACTTATTTAATGAAAAAAGCAGTAACCTAGTCTGGATCTGGTTTCAGCTCTGAGCTGAAAGCCTCAGTAGAGCAAGATGACCTTTCAGGTTACTCCATACTATACAGCTCTCTATTAAATTACTCTCCCTGGGGAAAAAAAAAAGTAAAATGAAAAATAAAATTAGTCTTCGAACTTCACAATTTTGAGCTTTTGAGGGAAACAAAACCAACATGTGTTTATTTGATTGCTTTTCAGTAATGTTTTTTTTTCTTCCTTTGAATATGTTTAGGCTGTCATGAGAATCATAACTTAGTCTTTTACTCAAAGGGAAAGAAATGAAAAAAAAAAACCCGAACCGCAAAATTCAGTTTTTGTACAAAAGTATCATTTGCAAAATGAATTAATACAGGTCAAATAACTTGTTGTTTCAGGCCGTTTTCATAAGATTTTAAATAGGCTTTTTTAAAACCAAAATAAACTTCCTTCACAAAAGCAATCTTTCTTCAGAGAAGCAATTCATGTATTACTCTTCAGTAAAAGCCTGTAAAGCAAGCTGTTAATTCTAAACTATTTACTAAAAACAATTCTAAATCCCCAAACTTGCAAACATACATACACATGCTATGCTCAATTTTACATCAGGGAGCACCCCCACTCTAGTCACTGGGATTAGCTGTGCAAGTAAATTAAACTGCACACGGAACTGGTATATTTAATTGGTAATTATATATTTCTAAGAAACAAATCAAGCAGCTGTTCTTACAAGAAAAAATATATTTTAAATACATTATACACCTAGCATTCATACTGCAGAATGTGTCAGCAAGAATACAACGAAAGCTATCTTATTAACAAAAAAATGGTAACAAGTACAATACAAAATCTGGATGGGAAAATTCTCTCCTTGCATCTTACACAGAGGATGCCGAGCCTGTAAAAATTACTCCCTCGTTTCCCATTACTCACAAAGAACACATCTGTATATAAAGCTCCCTAATTTTTATGCTCCTCAGAAGGATGGCTCTCAACATCACACTATCAGAAGGTCTTTGATGGTAGTTAACAACTGCTCATTCTAAAAAAAATAAAGGTGCAAATACTACAAATGGAATTAATATTGCAACTAGCTCAAAATTAGTATGTTACTATTAGCATTATTCCCTAAAACTAATGAGATGTATGGAGACATGGGGAAAGTAACACGACAACAGAAATTTTCTTAGTACCAAATGTCAACCATGTAATAGCAATTAATATGTAAGCACCATGAAGAAATGATCACAAATTAGACAAAATGATTCTCAGTAGCAGATATCCTGATAAACAGTTTATAGAAAGTTGGAGTAGTCTTGAAAAAATGACCTATGAGGGAGGCCAGTGAAGGTAGAAGGAAATGGGAGTTAACTTAAAGGGCACCTAGGCATCAGAGGAAATCCACATTTTAGTGGAATGGCAACATAAACAAATTAGGAATAACACAATGAATCAGTGAGGCCATCTTTCTACAGATCACAGCTTTAGACCATTCATGAGACAGGACAGCCCTTGGAAGAATAAATAATGTGTTGAGCCCATTAAACTAGGCAAGATAATGGAGAAGCCATAAAGGATTCTTCATCTTTCACATAATTTAGAACAATTTTATTATTTCTGTTTCGCTACAAATTAATTTATAAGTCAGTCAACAATAACTTAATGCTTTGCTATAAAAAAATAAACTTCATATTTCCAGTATTAAGCGTGCCAGGAACTCATGTCGACCCAAGTTAGGCAGAGTTCATTATCAACGCAGAAGGGACAGATAGACCCGTGTCAAGCAGTGCTATGCACACAAACTCTCTTACATGAACCTGCAAACCACCTGTATTCGAAAATTTCAGGAGGCACAATTCCTGCCAAAGCACAAACAGCAGTTTGAGAGTCAGGTGCCAATGACAGAAGTCCAGACCAATGTTACTTTGGCAAGGTTTAGGCAACACAAGAATGCCTTATTATTCACTATGACCCACCACAGATCATCATAAATTGACTGCTTTCATCATTTTTGTGGATAGGACTTCTCTGAGACCACTGTGGCATGAAAGAAGAACATGCAGTGGTGACTCTGACTCTTTATAGGCACCAAATACTTGCAGGCATTTTCCTGATATTTTTATTTGCCTGTGTTATTCAGCAGCAGGGAAGAGCAGTGATCCTTCAATTGCAGGTAATAGTACATGACATCAATAACCAAAATTCCTTTGTTAATAAACCTTTTTAATCCTAAGAGATGCTTCCTTGTTCGATCTATTATGATTTGTCAAAGTATAACAGGTAGAAAGAAAAATCCCCTAAAAGAGCTGCAGTGAGAAGGCTGATGCAACTACAATTTCTTCTTTCCTTAAGATTATTAATCTTAAAAAAAGTCACAGAAAACTCTTTACTGCGCCTCTAGGGGACATATTATAAGCTTTCAAAGTTTGCATGAATTTCTAGGTATTTTAATGGATCAAAAGTTGCTAACATTTATTTATTCAGTAGCAGACATCACAGTGGTGAGTGTTAGCTCCCAAAGCCAATTGAATATAGTCTTCATTATCAGTTGCTCAGTTATAAAAAAGATTAGCTTCTGGATCAGACCTCAAAACACACAACTGCCTCCAACAAAACACAAGGCAGCAATACATGCACATTATGCTTATTGCTATGCTTTCAGCTCTATGGAAGGGTGGAGTAAATTCTTTCTTCACAGAATTTATTCTTTGGTTATTCAGTTTCCTCCCTTACAGCCTTTTCCATAAGAGAAGGCTTGGGAAAATACTTATTATTGGTAATATTCCTATATAGGTCTTGACAAAGACAACTCGTGTGCTTAATATTTCATTCAGGTTTTCTGCTTTTAGCTTGATGTCATCTGTTCAACTGCCCTTCTTTGCAAGTTTGATACAGAATAGCAGTATACCCATGTGGCGCGTGTCTATTGCATTTTACGCACCCTAATTGACTAATATTCAGATCCCTCTCCTTTCCCTAGATGGCAATGTTTTCATTTGAATGAAAGTAAAATCAATACTTTTCTCACTATTTCTCTAGGTTTTGAACAACAAACTGAGATTTGATTTACTTCACCAGAAACATAAGAGACAGCACATTGACTTCCTACTTCCAGACAATATATCACTTCATGATTAGAAGTTAATCTAAAAGTACAGTGAAAAGTAAAACATTGTGCATTCAGTACCTGAAGTTGAATTTTTGCATCTTTGCTGACACTTTTTGTTCTCCATCGTCTCGTGACCCGCTTGTCTTTCTTTGAAATATCTACACAGTTAGCCTACATTACACAAATAGTTAAAAGCAACAAAGTACTATTAAGTTGATAGGAGCAACACAGACAATACAGCAAGTTAGTAAAGAATTGTAGCATTAGACATTTACAAATTAGAAAGTAAGGAGAAGAATGCTGCTGCCGGAGCCCAAAACTGCAGCAGTGATCAGCCATAGCTATCCTGACACTTTTGTAAACATATCATATAGTTGGTTCATTTAGCAAAACGACTGGTACACTTATTTCACAGGTGCACAATATTTAGGACCCGATCTCGAAATCCTCATGGATTTCTTTTGTGGTACTACTCAGATATTTGTGTACTCAAGAGGATTCAGTGAAAAAGGAGGAAAGTATTTGTGATTTAGGATGTGCTGTTGCTTTCTGTCAAAAGGAAAACTCACCCTGAACTGGGAAACAGTCCAAAACTTGGGACCTTTGTACTATGCCCTCTTTTCTAGAGCATGCAACTTCGTCTTTGAGGGTCTTTGGGTCTCCAATCCTTAAAAAACTTAAAATGTTATCTTACTTAGCACAACAAAAACTCCTTAAGTACAATTGCAATTGATGCATGTATTCTACTGTAACAGTTCTTAGTTTTGTTTTGCAATAATTGTTTGATTTGTCATATTTAACTCAAATAATAAATACATCTTAACTATTTTTTATACTTGAAACAGTATTACACATGCTTAAAATAAACATATAAGATAAAAATTTCACCGAAGATTTACGATGATTGCAGAAAAACATTCTGAGTTAACAGACAACATCTCTATATTTCCCTTAACACAAGAACAAATGTTTCAGTACAATGATTTATGTTCAAGCATAGTTACCTGCATGTCTGTGAAATTTGGTGCTGACTGAGTTCTCTGTAATATTTCTAAATTTTGAAGAAGTTTACTGAGTTCCACAAGGTTAGACTGACAATGAGCAAGGTCTAACAGATATAAAATAAAAATATATTAGGTGCTTCAGTTCAGACATTTTTTTCCCCATTTATAATGCAATAACGTGCTAACAAAGTTAAAAGTCCAAATCCCTTTTAGTAAGGCACCTAAATAAAAATTTTTTTTTAGAGATGTCAAACACTTATTATTTCTATGGGACCTTTTATCCAACAAGTCTGGATCTTAGAAGTTGATCATATTTGAAGAATGACATCCATTAAAAACAACACAGATTATTAAGATAAATTTTAAAAGTGACATCCCAAAATATGCGAAGTTCCCACCACAAGCATCTAATTACCTGAAGAGCTACTTCACGTGCATGTAAAGATGTAACTTAAGCACTTTATGGACTTGACTCTTCCTTATTATGTATCAACAAGAAGTTTTGGTGAAAGAACAAGGCGTGAAAAGGTAAAGTCTAACCTTCTGCACATCTGTCCATTTCTTCAGAGTCCTGCAACCAGGCTGCTACTTTACTCTGACCAGTGGTGCAGGTGACCGGAAGGCTGTTACTGCAAGGTATAGGAGACTGCCAGGGGTAGTTATTTTGTTGCACCTAAAGCATAATAAAATGCTTAAATTTACTGCTGCTATGCTGCTTTGTCAGTGTAATCACCACACTATTGCAGAACAGAAATCAAAATATGCATTGTGTTTTCAGTGACATCTGTGATTTGGTTTAGAGTTCCCCAAGATGCAGATTTTTCTGAATAGCACGTAGGAAAACCAAACCAAGAACCTCACGAGTGAACGGTGTTTGCTAACCGCTGGTTAGAAAAGCTGTTGCTTAAGAAGAAGAACATTATCAATCAGCAAAGAGACAGGTCTCTAGCTGATGACAAAGGCAAGTGCAAACTGTACAGATGGTGAATTCTTTGCAAGATCTCTACAGCAGCCCATTAATGAAGGCTGCAGTAAGGCTAAATTAGATGGTATTTCAGCAGCACACACTGACAGCTTTTTGCTGGCCATAGGTTCCCACAGTGGAAGCTCCTGTTCTATCGGCATTATAAGAAGAGCCCACTGAAACTCTGCATGAGCAAACCATGAGTTTTCAACAACAGAATACTACACACCTTTCCATCTGACACATTAGCAGCTGGTGAAGACTCCGTAGTAGATGCTGAAGGGAATATATGAAAGCTGGCATCTCGCGGAGACCTTACAATCTCGTTCTGACGGTACAACCGGTGGTGGCGTAATTTTGAAACCCATGCATCAAATGAATCCTGTGACTTCACCTGGAAAAAAATTTACTGTCAACAAAGCATGCAAAATACTACTTTTCTGCACAATCTTTTACAATTTGATTTATTTATATTCTACTGAGGATGAAAAAATAATACATATTTGAACTTTTTACCTTCAGGTGATAGATGTGTTCTTCTGTGTCAAGATCTATTCTACGAGCCTTTTTTTTTATAGACATGACTGATAAACCAACATCAATGCTCCCATGGACTTTTCCTTTCTGTATCTAAAAATCAAAAAAAATTAGGGTAAGAATTTGGAAGTATCATGCACTTCACCATATTTAACAGAAGAATATCTGGTGCTGAAATGATTTCCCATTCGATAAACATTTTAACACAAAGCCTTATTAAAAAAAAAGCTGAACTCAGACTAAACACTTACTATATTTGCAGTCAGAGAAGAGTATCTCACAAGAAATGCTCAATGCAAAGCCAGCTTCAAAGTTTAAGTGTCTTGGTTCACAAGAGTACACAGGTACAGGTAAGTAAGAAACAGAGAATATTAGACAGTACTTGTCACCCTGCTGCAACTGCTTGATAGTTATTGGTATCAGATCTAACTAATTTAATGTTAACTTTTACGTTGTTATCAATTCTCTCTCCTATCCCACTCTGTCCTATCCTATTGTGCCTCAGAATAATCAGCTTTGACTGACATAAAAATTGGGAAAGAAATATATACAGTCAAGTTAATCTCTCAAGCACCTTCGTTAAAGAAACTACTTTAAGTGATGTAGTTTTTCTTTCCATAGAAGCAAAAAAAGGTAGAAGTCTTGAGGCATAACTCAACCAGAATTTTACATGCTTTCCATATATATATCTCTCTCTATATGTCTATATCTATCTTTCAATCCATCAACAACTTTCATGTGTGTACTATCATAAATACACCTAGAGTGAGTATGCGACCCCGGCAGGTCAAATTCCAATAAAAGTTTTAAAATGCTCTTCAACTTTACTTACATCTATTGGGGCCTTTGAATACTTCAACATTCCATTATCCAGGACAAAAAATCTCTGAAAGAAAAAGAAACAAACAAACAAATAAACAACATTCTTTCTTAATGAGCAGATGCAATTTAAACTATGTACGACAATTCATCTGGAAAAGGATTACCCTGTAGCAATTAAGAAATTGCTTGGGGGTTGGAAGGAGAGTATAAATACAGTATTGAATAATTCTCTTGCTTGTTTCTTGACAATTATCTTCTAAGCAAGAAAAACTAGATTCTCTTTTTTCAACATTATATTCTAGGTTTATCTTAGCAAACTTCAAGAAAGCAAACTATAAGAAAGACAATGTAGGACAAGAGAACTATGTCTGTTTCTCCATTTTCTTCCTGTTTTTCTTCCCACAGAAGGTGGTCACGTTTCAAATTAACAACCTACCTTCCCCTATCCACAAACTGAAAAGTTTTTCCTAGTGCAAGATCTACATCTAAAAAGGCAGACCTTTTAAGAGACACTGCTCTACCATCCAAAACTTTGTGCCTTATGGCAGGCGTCCACACAGTGAAGTAAAAATGAGATTATAATTCATGCTGATGATACCTTTTCTAGTGGTAATCTAGGTAATGCAGGAATTAGCACTAGTGCAAGTATTACAGCGTTCCCAGCAACAGACCAAGGTCACGGGAGGGCCCATTTTTTGGGTGTTAGTCAATGATACAGTGTGAGCTCCTATATCTTCACTGACATGGTTACCAGGACTAGCCTAATGATGCCTATCTGTGGTACAGCTACATCTTTATTTTGCTGAGCAGTTCTTACTTTCAGCAGAGAGCAGAATCCCCTATTCACACAAAAAAAGTTGCCTTAGCTTGTCTGTACCAGATCATTCAAGCTGCATTGCAGTCAAGTTAATGTAGACTTTGGCACACAGCATAAAGACACAGGCTAGCAGGACACCTAGACTTGAAATAAGATTTGCTAACTTGTGTCTATCATCACTAGGTTTCAAAACACGCAAAGTAAGCGCAACTAATTCCTATTTTTAGAGTGTAAGCTAAAGCACTAATCTATGTTAGAAAGCCAGAACCCAGCAAAATACTATGCTTGATTCTCAAAGCTGTTTGACATGGAACGGAAGGAAATTTAACAGGTTTACGTCATGAAACCATTTAACACTATGAGCAGGGTCCGAGTTAGATGGCAGAAAATCTCCCCTGAAGATGGTTCTAGAAATTATGTCTGTTACACAACAGATGGTACCAAAATCTCATGCAGGGCAAGAAAACAGTGCTTTCCTGGAGACATAACTCATTGAATAAGATGTCAAAACAACAGGAACTTTTTTTGATTCTTTTCTTTTTACCGAGATATGGTCATTAATGAACTTCACAAGAATATGATATTCATTTCATATTGTTCTGTCTCTCTAAGCTGCACACACAAAAGAAAATGATCTTTCATCATCATTTCATTCCAAGCATACTGCACTTCAGAAAGTGATGTTTGCCAAGTTGCACCCATTATACCTGGTATGCTACTAAAGCACATTCAAAAATGTCAGAATATGACATGCAATGTTCAATAGACAAAGGATGCTATCTATTACTTTGTTATGCTATCTATGGCTTTACTATCAGAACACTAACAGAGCACATGCTACAATTACTGTCTCTGAAATTCCTTCACTGGACTCTTAGCACATAGTATTGTTATGGAAACTCCAGGATATTCAGGTAGCAGTTGAAAAACAAATAAAATTACTAGCAAACCCACAGTTTCAAAACCTAAGTTCAGTTCCTAAGGTGAAATGTAAGACAAAGTAGAGGGGAATGCTAAACTGTGAAGCTCTTAATCACACTAAAAATTATTTACACAGGTAACTACTCTAAAGTCATCCAGATCATCAGTAGTGATCTCCTTTATAGAACTGTGAAAGCTGGACTCCCCTTGCTCTCCTATAAACTAGTTCCTTACCAAAACAGACACTTGGTCAAGAATAATGTATTTAAAGGAGTGGGAGCAGTGGTTTATTCCATAAATTCTTATGTATCTATTAATTGTTTGGATTTTTTTTTTTTTTGAGAGCAGAAGGGTTGTTGGGGGTGGAGGAATGTTCTGCTTTGTCATGTTTTGGGGTTTTCCTATAGGCTATCCTTTTCTGTTATTTCAGTGTTTCAGCTTGAAACACAGTTTGAAATCCTTTAATATCTCTAGACTAAATTCAGGTGGTGCATATGTATTTGGTTGCCGAAACTACAAACTCTAGTTAAGAAAAACAAAGCCAAAACACCTAATGTAGATAAGCATGCACAAAAAATTGTGGTAGGCATATGTTTAATTTAGTACAACATGCAGAAAAAATCTGTGATTTATACTAGTATGGACTGCATTTGGACTCAGACGTAAGTCCAACAGTGTTCAGCAAAATAAAAATAAATTAATTCTTCCCAGAAAAGCACCATGTATACTAAATGATTTCACTATCTTTTGCTGTAAAATGTACTCTGTCCCAGAAAATTATCCTGCTTCAAGTAGCCTCAGGTGAATAAAGATGGGTAAGCATTAATACCGCATATCTTGTTGCCTAAAAAGGGGGGAAAATACAATTATTATGGTATGAAACACAGACATAAGAGTTTATGAACACCAGATTTAAGGCTAACAAAAGGTAGAATCATGCATGAAGATACGTGTCCAAATAAACTAAACAGAACCAGAAGACTTAGGGTGAGTTTTGGGGTGTTTTCGTTTTTTTAAATAGACATTTTATGGCAAAAATCCATATTCCCACTGCATGCCCACAATGAAGATTCCAAACAAGAAGACAAACAAAATTTAGGAACAAAGCTGAACAAATATGCTCAGTCAGCAGACCTGAAGGGGAATGCTCTCCTGTATGAACACCTTGGGTCCATGGAAAACCTCTCAGCTCTCCTCTGCTACGTACTTCAATGTAGATATTATGTACTTCAATGCAATCTTAGAGCACACAGCTAAACTTTTTTATAATACATGGCAAAGAACAAAAGGGATATTGATCAAACCTCTTAAAACACAAGGTATTTGTTGTGTTATTTACAAATTCCGTCTGGATTTTGAATACAACAGCAGGCAGCAGGCACTGTGACTTGAAAGCCATGAGCTGTGTCTGCAAACTAACTCTATACGCAGGTGAAAGAAAAAGTCACACACCAAAAACCCTGAGTATTTATTTGACATCCTAATTTCCTCTAGACAAAAAAGTCCCAACTCATAAAATAAGGTAATAACCTTCTGACTGGTTTATGAGACATTTACCTTGTGCCAACCTTTTAATGGCCATTTTCTCTTTTTCAGCATGAAACCTTCATGTTTGTCTGGCTTCTGGACATTGGTCTGGCCTATTTTCAGACCCTCTATGATTTCCCAGCTGTCAGGTTCCTGGTGAAAAATATGAAGACACTTTGATTAACACATGGTGAAAAATGCACTTTCAAGTAGCACAAATTCTCCACTGCAAGACAGAGTAGGAAAGCTAGGCTTTTAAAATTTAGGTACAAAACTACATGGTCACTATATTATGTCCAGCTGTATCTCATTTAAAACTACTAAATATGAACATTTTTGGAAGTCTAACCCTTACCAGATAAGGCATATATTAACAGTGGTCTTCGTGGTATTTCTTGACCATAAAAAATTTAAAATTTTCTGATCTTTAAAATAAAAGTTGCATTGGTTCTGGATACCCTATTTTTTCCTCCAAATCAGAAAAGCTAACAGAAGAAGTTCCTTAATTGTTGATTTTGAATGTAGCTAGCGATCATCTTCAAAGGCACTTTATGACAGAGTTTCATAGGCTAATTGTGCCTTCAGAAATCTGCAAAAGGATTTTTTTTTTCTGCATTCATTTTCACTGTATTACGAGAAATTTATAGGAAAGTTATCTAATTTGCTCTCTAGAGAAAAACATAGGAACAGTATAATTTCAGATACAACCAGCTGTATGCCTTTCAGGGAGCCAATTAAAGCATATTTCTTGTACATACCGTTTCTTATGCACGGTGACTGGTGCAACTCAAGCCAGACTTACAATGCAACACAGTGAACCGTAAAGAACAATATTTTTAAAGAGAAAAAATCTGAGTCGTGCCTTTATCTCTACCCTCTTGCTTCTACTGTAATCAACAGAATTCTGCACCAGTTTAAAAATCTCTTATTGCCTGCTCACTCAGACTCTATTTTACTAATTATACACTACAAACTTCTAAACTTGTATTTTCTCAGCTTATCTGTCACAACCCCCAGCAATGTTATAAAAAGTTATCAAGAAAGGAAGGAGGTCATATAGCATCAAACATTTAAAGGGAAAAACGTCTCTCCATTTCCCACAAAACTGTTCAAAGCCGAGCGCTGTCAGTCTTTCATAACACCTCCAAGTTAATTACACAGCTCTGATAACACCGACATTACTATTACGAAAATACAATTTCAAAGGTAACAGCAAATTTCAAATCTACAACTTTCAGTAAGGTCTTAGTATTCTGAGAAGGGTGAAAAGCTCTATGACAAATAATACGCACTGCAGTAAATTGTAACAGAAATCCTTATTCAGTTTAGTTTTCCCTGCATAACTATGAACTTTAATTATCTCATTGTCTGCAAATGCCATAAACCCATCTTTTTTACTTCCCTATCTTTTGCTTGGATATTCTATTTCCATTCTATAGAAAGAAGCACATATACATTATTTTTTCCATACAAGGAAGTACTTGGCACTTGAGGGGAACAAATTTCCAAGTCCCCTGGGGTGAGCAGAGAGTCTCTCCGGGACTCTGCCAACTGATTCTTCCCCATATTGATTTCTCTTTTAGATGATTAGATGCAGGGATAAGTCTTTTATCTACTAGATAACATCAGTATTGATTAATTCTCAGCTAGAGACCACACAATCTCATATAGCTATTCATTTAAACAAAAGGCCTGCTACAGAAGGATAAAATGAACAATTATTTAGTGCAGTGTGGATACTTGTTTTCTGCTGCATCAGTGCTACAAGCTGTTCTTAAAACCATTCTAACAATCCTAACTGTGCCTTATCCCACAGGTTCAGTGCGATGAGATATGCCCAATGTAAGGGACATTATGAAAGAGCAGCTAGAAATGGGGAAAAAGCAAGAGTGAAAGCAATATGTTGAAGAGTCCTCATCCAATGGCAATCAGTACTTTAGGACTTCAGTGATACCATACATAGTATGTGAGAAACAGCCCCGTGCAAAGCATTAGGACTGGGGGAACACAATCACAACTTTCCGTCCCTGGGTCTGCATATGCCCCACATATGGGGATTAAGGGAGCCACCACCAACAGCTTTATGAACCTAGTCTGTTTGACTGCAAAATATTTGTTTTCCAAATAAAAAAGAATAAACCATTTCATTTTCCCTAGACAAATATAGTATTTCATTTTGAAGTTGTTTTACCAGTTCTGTTTCAGAACTGACAGACATTTAATTCCACATTTTCCTTTTCCACCAAATATTCCACAAATATCACAGCATCCTTTTCAGTAATAATCTTGCTTTTGCATATGAAGCATATTAAAATGAAGCCTTCTTTATGTGAAATTAGACTTGTTTGGAATCACTTATTCCAAAACTGAGGAATTTACCCAGGAAGAAGTTGACTTCAAAACATCACACAGAAGGCTCCATCTTTCAGGAACTGGTGGTGTCATTCCTGCAGTTCTCTTTCTCTCTGCCTCAGGAAAGATGGTCTCAGCAAGAGATTTGAAATTTCAAACTACCCACAATGAATGTCATTAGGACATATTTTTAAAACTAATATAATCATTGATTAGCAGCAATTTTAGACTTGGAAGTGATTTGCTCTACCATAGTAAGAGGACAGGACTGGAAAATTTCTCACAGTCATAGAATCATAAAATATCCTGAGTCAGGAGGGACCCACAAGGATCATCAAAGTTCCCTCTAGCCCCATACTCTGAGACTGTAAAATTTGTTCCTGGGGGCCATCGATGGGAAAAAAAAAAAATCCTTGATTTTGTTAATATAACAGCTGCTAAAGATTAGTCTCCTCTGACACCTCAGTTATGGAACAAAAGGCTCCAGGGCAGACTCACAACATACTCAGTAGTAGAATCATACAAAACACTATCCCAAAGCTGTTAGTCAAGCTGCTTTGTAACTCCAGAGGGAAGCTCATCACCCAGGTTACATCCAATGCTTTTGCTTACCTTGGATAGAGAGATATGATCGCTTTCAAGGAACTGCTTGCTTAAAGAAGGGTCTGTGCTTCCCGAAGACGCCTTCCGCTCCAAAATATGAACACTCTAAAAAAACCCCAAAAATTAAAGATAACACCATGGCTCAAAACATACAAAATGCTACCCATCCATGACTTAAACGTGCAAATAGTTCATCTTCTGAGGTAATATACTTCTCTCCCTTTTTTTATTATTGCTTTTTAAACTAAGTGCTCTCTTTAACCTAGAAATTATGGTTAACTAAAAAAAAAAGCCAGGAAAGACAAGTAATGCCATTCTTACCTACACAAATGTGAAGTGCTCCTATTATTAATGTTTTCTGCTAATATACAAGACACTGAGTACAAATATCATGCAGTCAGCACTGCCCTACATTCACTTCTGAAGCAAACTACTGGACATAAGATATTACTGTCTCTAACATATTCATCATCAACCCTTAGCATTTTGTTATTGGCTTCTCATCTGAAGTAACTAATTACATGAATGCTTTTAACATATTACAGGTGTTAACAAGGTCAGTTACTGCATCTCAGCTGATGGGCTTGCTAGTGCACATTTATGGAACACTGATCTCAAACAATTGCAGCTGTTTTTACATCTGACAATACTATTAAATTTTATCTCTTCAAAGCATCATAATAAAACATTTTATTCATATTTTATTCAATTTTATTCATAATAAAAATTAAATACATAATGTAAAAACTAGTCCTGAAAAAACTACTATTCTTAAAAGACACCTAAAAATGTCTTCCCATTTTCCAGAAATGTTTCACTATTATTTTATAAAAGAAAAATAATTTTTGATACAGGAGAAAATAACCACATTCTTAATGCTTGGATCTGCATTTCATTCTCTGGTGAAATTTGCTACATCTCATACTATTCTTTGGTAAGAATTCTACTGCAACATGTCAATAAAATCTCTTTGGTATAATATAAAACTACTTCATTTCCAGGACATGAAGCACAAATGACAAACACAATTGCCATATACCCTCTGAGAAGGGTTTTTCTCAACTGAAAATGCCAATCAAGTTTGGTTCACAATTAAGCTTCTTCACATTGCCTGAAGAAGAGATTACATAGGTACCAGTGACAGCAGAAACAATCAGGGAATATAAAAACACATACAAACTGTAGTGTAAATATTTTTGTTTATACCAACAACTAAGTACATAAGGACCATAACCAAACTAAATGAAAATAAACACAGCTATTCATTTAAATGCATATACAACACAGACCCCATTTTGCTGCAGAGCAACACGCAGACCTTCATTGTTTTCTTCCAAGTTGTGACTGTGAATGAGAACAGGAAAATGTGGGGACTGTCTCTGTTGTCAGTGGAGATTAAGCATTGCTGCCACCATACAACAGTAATCAGCATTTATTTTCAGTTACTTTCAATTAAATTTTTCAGCAAAGAATGCAGAAAAGCAGCAATATTATGTTACTCCAGGGCCAACCAGCAAAAAGCTTTTTACTCAGCCCAATGTATTTTGCTAGTCAGGTGAGGAAAAACTTTTTTTTTATGTAGCACATGTTACATGTTACATGTAAAATAATTTAATATCCTTATTTGAGCTGAGAACCACAAAGTTCCTAATGATAAACAATGATAAGATTTCTCACTGAATAGAGAAAATGTACACAGTATCACATTTTAACAATATACAAGAAAACCTAAACCTGTTCCTCCAAGGAAGATTAAAATGTCTCTTGATTACCATAATCAGGACGATTCCCAACTTTCTTGCCAGTTTTGTCTGGCAGGCAGGAATCCATCCATCTTGAGATGGAGCAATGCCCAACACAGATGTTCTGAAGGTCTCATATGCAGCAGCTGGTGCAGTTTGTTGTTACATAACTGCAATTTCATTTTGTACAATATTTAGAGAGGAGTAACCAACAGCCCTTAGCTTGCCAGATTTCCAGTGACATTTTCAATTGCATGGTTTTAAGGCAAGGAGGTTTTGTGTCTTTTTTTTTTTTTAATTAGCCCTCAGTCATTACAGTTCCACTTCAGTTGAGAAATACATTATTAGCTAACAGCACTTTAATGAATGCTGACTTATTCAACTATTTGTTTGAAAATTAGAAAATGAACACTTTTTAAATAAAACTGCCTTCTTTACCTTCCTTACTTCCAGAAGTGTTGGCTTGTTGCCTTTTATATGTTTGCTTTTCAATTCTTTTCTTTTATGACCACCATTACACTAACACAAGATCATTTCTTTAGATTTGTGACATGTGTCTAGCATAATATTAAGAGACATTACTTGGTGCAAAATGTTTTCCATTAATGCATGTTATTTTTCTGCAAAACTGCAGCTAGAAATTACACAGTCACTTGACATTTTGAAAAGCAGCTAATTTTGTAGAGCAAGAGTTTAGTTATTTAGCATTACAGAAATAAAAATTACTTAGATCTTGAAGGTATTATCAAGGTTTTTTGTGTTTTAATGTAAAAAACAGAGTTGGTAAAGGAAGCAGTAAAAAAAAGCTGATAAGAAGAAAAGGAAGAAAGAGGCAAATCAAAACATCTTCCGAGGCTTGTTTATAATCAAACAGAAAAATGCATAATCCATTAAACTAGGTGTATCAATCAACCTGGTACTCTCATTCCTCTCATCCCAAGAATACAGGCAGACAAAAACTATCTCCACATTGCTGCATTCCAGACTGCCTTCATGTTTCAGGATTACCTATGCTGATCTGTCTTGGAGGAAAACGCCAGCATTATTAAATTCTGTGTGCTCTTCAAAACTAATTCAATAGAATTACAAGTTAAACTCAAATTACTCTGAAATGCCATTGCTAAATCTTAGTCCTAACTACAATCTTTCCTTTATCTTTGTGATTATCCACAACATACATTACATATGTGAGCACACATTTGCCTCAAAATGCCCCCTAACAAACCAATGTATGGGGAACACAAATGCTTGTTCTGCCCTGCCTTTTTTCCTGTTGCTTCCCAAAGACATGTGACAGAGAAGGAAATTGATAGAGAAAATAACAGTATGATGTTCTATCATATTCTCATCTTCTCTGGAGTGCAAGAATGGAAAACATACTTCACAACATCTTTCCATGTATCTTGCCAACTTCTTTTCTCAGTTTGCAGTTCAATGACTCATACACCTCGTTGTCCCGGTTTTGGCTGGGACAGAGTTCATTTTCTTCCTAGTAGCTGGTATAGTGCTGTGTTTTGGATTTAGTATGAGAATAATGTTGACAGCACAGTGATGTTTTGGCTGTTGCTAAGTATCATTTACCCTAAGTCAAAGACTTTACAAGTTCCCATACTTGCCAGTGAGGAGTTGCACAAGAAGCCGTGAGGGAGCACAGCCAAGACTGCTGATCTCGTCAAAGGGATATTCCATACCCTAGAATGTCATGCTCAGTATATAAACTGGGGGTAGTTGACCAGGAGGGGCCAATCACTAGTTGGGGATGGGCTGGGCCATGGTCAGCTGTCAGTGAGCAGTTGTATTGGGCATCAAATGCCTTTCTTAGGTTTTATTTCTTTTTCTCTTTCTTGTTGTTCTTCCTTTTCACTACAATCAATGTTATATTTTATTTCAATTATTAAACTGTTCTTATTTCAACCCTCAGGTTTTACCTATTTTTATCCCTGGATTCTCCTCCCCATTCCACTGGCAAGGTTGGACTCCCATCAGGCCAGAGGCTGAGGACCCTACCTTTTAGTCACTCAATCTGACTTCCCAGTAAAACAAAAGACATTTAGCTGTTTCCACAGGGAAGGCAAGGAAAGAAAAGATATTTTGAATAAGGAGAGACAGGAAATCCAATGAAGGACAAGTCTGGTACACATGCCTCCCCTTTCTACTTCACTGCTTATTTACTTAATGGAATGAATTATATTTAACGCAAAGATTTCTCTATATTTTATAATTTATTATTTCAAAAAAAAAAAGGCTGGTGAGGAATTTATCACTCACATTGGACACAGACTCTCTGCAGTTCAGAAATATGCACAACATGTGGTTAACAGTTAATTAATGAAAAAGATCTGTTGGGCCATTTTATTTGTTCGTAGCATTTTAGCAGTCTTCAATAACCATGGGGCCTAGATATACAATTTTCTACAACAGTAATTCAAAATAGAGCTTTTCTCTCTGTTTTTTGTGTGTGTGTGTGTTGTTTTTTTTCAATCCAAAGAACTAACTATTGTATCTTTTATTACCTGCTATTCACTGTACCCTAGCAAACCTGTGTTCTTATTTGAATTTCATTTAGTACAAAGTGCAGTGTTCAACCACTTTCTCTCAACTAAAAACATAGCATTTTCCAGTTATCTGAAACACAGTAGAAGTAATAAGGTAGACACAGATTTGACTGAATACATACCATTTTTACTACCTTTTAAACAAGCTGTGATATATGCCAAGTTAATCTGCAATATTATTTGCAAAGGGAATAACCTTGAAACTTGGCTTTTATCTTAGGCTGCTTCTCAGTCAACTCTGGCTTTCCTTTTGTTGATGTTGGAATAAAGATAGATTCTTGAACATAACTGTGAGAGAAGGGTGAGCACAAAGCAAAACAATCATATCGCCTCAACGTATTTCTCCCTTCTTTCTTCTAACACATTTTTTTAATTTTTATAAAGCAATCGTGGACCTATTCTCATCCTAAGTCTCTCCTATTGACACTGCTCCATAGTTGGTTTCAACAATCTCAGCTATCAAACTAACCAACAAAGGAACTTAATAACACTCTATGAATAGCACATGGAGTTAATATTTTTTTCTTGTAATACATGCTCATCTTGTACAGAAATGTGCTTAAGAGCAACATTTTCCCTTTGTAACCTTTTTACTGAAAGACAAGTATATGTAAGAAGCAGTTCTGTAGGTATGTATGCCTACTTCTTTCCTGGGATATGCAAAATAAACACTGCTTGTGTAACAGAAATGTCAAGGATTTGTTAGCTCAGGAGCTCCATGTCAGCTCTTGCTAGAGCTCCAGCTTTATATTGTACTTCATTCATGTCAATGCTTTTAGGCTCTGGAAGCAAAGAAGCCTTTGGTTTT